AATATTCATGAACTGCCGCTGAGGCCGCACCTCTTCCGTCTTGGTTTGGCCATCCACGGCCAAGCCAGTCCGCAAATTGTGCCTGTTGATGGCTGCAAAGTGCCAGCGGCTGTCGTTAACCATCTTATCTGAGGTGATGGTGGTCTCGGCACAGTCGATACTGACGCGAAGCTGCAGCTTACCCTCAGATACAGCGAGAAGCAGAAAGTCACAATATCCGCCATCATCAAAGTAGAGCATCAGGCCCTCTGGTTCTGAAGTCTTGAACTGAAACGTCATGTCGCTTCTGGTGCTGGCATCCCAGCGCAGGTAGCGAGCCCACTGACCTTCAGAGCCAGTAAACTCCAGGCCTGTGCTTAGGCCCAGCGTGGTACTTAGCAGCATAAGGAAAAATCCAGGTAGGCTGTTTGGATTCATGGTAGAGAATAACAGGGAGCTCAGAAAAGGGTGAGAACTGGGGACAGATCCTCAAAGTGATATGAACATCTGATAATGGTTTAGTTCCAGGCTTTTTCTGCTGAATGTTATATTCCACATAGATAATCTTAGTCAGGCAGACAGCGCAATATCCTTTATTTTATCTGAGAGGCAGATCTAACGTTGATAAAGGATCTTATCTCAACTGCCAAATCTATGGAGAATTGTGCAAAAAAGGAAAGGGAAAAAAATCCAGTTTCCACATAAACGCGGAAAATTGCTATGGTAAAGGTGAGCCGTAGCGTGTTTTGTCAGTGATTCAGAGCTGCGTCTTGTGATTTTTCTTTAAGGCGGTTTCCTGGGTTGAAGCACAGAACGGTCATCGTTGGTCCGGTTCCACGCCCCATGGTTTAAACTGCAGGGAAAGAACAGACATTTCTTTAAGATGAATCTCTATTTTCTAGCAAAACAAAGCAACCAAGGGGATGTGTGACACAAATAAAATATGTGACCCAATGAAACATAACAAAGAGGAGTCCAGAGATTCTTATTAAAGGTTATAAAATGTTGTCTCAATTAAGTCTGTACAAATGAGACCCATTCATGCCAAGCATGTTGTGTCCACTCCATCATCCTATTAGGGCCCATAGAAATGAATATGATTGTGACACATCATGACAATCTGTCACTCCTCCTAGGCTACAATCAACCATTCCTGTTGTAGTGTACTTTGGTTTATTAGCCAGTTAGCTATGTAGGAAATATTTCAAATGATCCACACCCCTAATCCCTGACCAGCTAAATCACTGCTAGGATAACGAGGAGTGGGGTGTCCTTGGAAAATGACCCCCTCTGTAAGAGATCCCCTGCCTGTAAACATTTGACAAACCCTGTAATGTTCTATATCTAGTTAGCACTGTCTGTGAGCTTTTGGCTTAACTGCAGGGATTTTCTTTAGTGTTGCTAAAATATGCCAACCTAAACTAGAGTTATAAAGCTAGTTCAGATGTAAAACAGCACTCAGAGGAGGTGGAATAGGGAAAACAGCAATTAGGCAAATTGTGCCAATGAGTTTAGATGAATTAGAAGGGATACTGAGAGCACCATTCAATGCGGATTTGACTCTCTAGGTGGCCATTAAATAGCACTAAATATCTACTGAACACCCATTAAAGGTTTACAACCATTTTATGCACTTTTCTATTTCTGCCAATTACTCATTTTATTTGAAGGTCCACTCAAATAATCATTTATAGTTGTAAAGCCTTCGTTTGAGAGATGAATTCCCAAACAGTCGAAGGACAACAAAGCGGCTTTGTGAAAAACACACAAATAAATAAAGTCCATCTACTGGGCTGGGTTGCCTTGCTGATTCCACGATGAGAGGAAATCCATGGAGGTGAGCCGGAGCATGCGTTTCGCCTCAGACGTTAGCCTGCTGTCTGTAAGGGCCTGCCGGGATCCTGATAAATATGACTAATTATCTGCCGCCACTCTCCTTTTCTCATTTGCGTATCTTTGGGGGATTGCAATCATAAACAGCTATTCAGAAAGACGTTACGATGGTGCTACTTCATCTCCAAATCCCACCACTAGCATTCTTTTTCTAAATTTCCTTCAGTGAATACGTTTTTAACTTGTTCACATCACCCAACCCCAGATGAGAGCGGTACTGAATATTAACTAGCTCACTGGCCTTTGTACGCTACACCTGTACTCATCTAGTTCTGTTTGATTTTGCTCTGCAGAGCCAGGAATGATTCACATGGTGAAACCTTATACGTGTGTGTACTCTTCCAGCCCTTTGCCCTTGCAATTGTTTTGGCATTGGGCTGCCCACCAGACAAACGCATTGTCCAATCATGACAGTAGCACAGACCCATGCAACACAATAGGCCCTTTAACCACCTGCCCTGAATAGTTAATCTTGCTGCAGCAGGCAAGCTATTGAATTGTAGAAACTGATACCTATGCTAATGCACCGTGTACACATGCATGTGTGTCCCTGTGCAGGAGTGTACCTGACTGTGTCTCTCTGACAACGCTGGGTTGCCTGGCTGGACGACTGTCTTTGTCTTAAAAGTGCCTTTGTGAGACAGCAGAGAGGTTAAAAGGTTCTGTGTGGTGAAATCACCCTGAACGCTACTGCATCAACCCAAGCCACCAACTATAAAAGAGTGTTATGTGCTGTGTCCCTTGACTAAGCAAGGCTCAGTATGCCCGTGAAATCTGAGATGCCTGCCTGGTATAAAAAAATGGCCCTGGAATCTATTCAATTAACATGAGTTATTGTGTGTGTGTGTGTGTGTGTTGCTTAACCGAGATATCAGGTGTCCCTATAGCCTGCAAACCATGGTTTTAACACTGAATGCTAACGATGCTAACATATTCTCTTTCAAGCAGTTATGGAGATATCATTGTGTTAAACACAGCTGTTTTTTTTTTCACCTTTAATTGATTGTGACTTTAAAAACAACATTTGCCCACCATGACATTAACTACTTAACATTCGACTGACTATAAGCCCTGCTTAAAATCCAAATCTTTCCACCTCAAAGCTAAGCTAAATGAAGCTAACATAGTGCCAAGTTGAGTTTTACCCAGAATATGTTACTGACACTTTTCCTCGCAGGCTTGTTATGAAAGATGCCCTTCAGCTAACAGCATGCCTGAGAGCACCCAGCAGTCCTCACTCCACAGGGCAAAAAGGGAAAAATTAACAAGCTGTTTTGGGCTTCTTAATTAAGTACACTGTTTAACTAGCATAAACCCAAACCTGTTTTTTTTCCAGTTAAACAAATAGGAAGTCGCATAATTTCTAAATAGCTACCTTGCTCTGCTACAATAAGCACATATTTTCCGGGATATACACATTGAATTATTAAATAGTGCAGGATATGAGATGACCTGTATGGGATACCTTCACTGACTGCCCATAAATGATGCATTGACAGGTCCGGCTTCGGTGCAGCAGATTTATAGACATGTTTTGTAATGTAGCCGAGCCCCTATCACGCACTGGAGACCCCCTCAGCCCCCCGCTGTGCTCCCTGTCTATCACAAGCTGCAGCCCGGAGGAGCGATTTAATCCGACAGCAGTCACAGCAGACGAGGGTATGCTGCATTAGAAGCGTGTCCGGACCTGCCAAGTCCACTGCTGGTAAGAGGAAGTGGGGCGCACGGAGCAGAAGGTGAATTTTAGGGTGAACCGGGAATAAAGTGAAGTCATTTAAAGCTTCAGTGCAAAACTTGAGAGCATAAACTTCAATCTGGCACCAGCAGGAACGGACACATTACGATTCTATCCGCTCCCGCTGAACATCTGTGCAGGGCTCCAGATGTTGCAGTTAAGAAAAAAAATAGCCCAGTATTTAGAGTTTAGATGAGCAAATGGCCCCTAAATGCATCACGAAATCCAACGTGGGCTTCAGTAAACCAAACACCAGCCATAATTTAGAGCAAATAAGGTACAGAGACGGGATCAGCGTTAACTCTGCAGTCAGCTCAGAGACACAAGTTCTCGCAGAAATATTAAATTAGAGGGATGCTGTAGTCTCTGCTGAAAGCCCCGGTGGACATTTCAATTCCGCACGGCCGAGCTTTCACAATGTAAGTGCAACAGAAAATGATGCTATCGATCACATGAGTAATTTCATCCCTTAATGGAATATTTTAAACCTTCAGATGATAGGAAAACATTTAAAACCTGCCAGAAACCCAACCCGCAAGCCCGCACGGATGAATAAAACAGCGGGCTACATGCCCCCCCCCAGCAGCGCTCAAGCTTTCCCTCTGCTTCTCGCATGGTGGCAGTCTGACTGTGGCTCGAGGGCTCACGAACCTTTGCTTTTGGCAATTACGAAGCGAAATTTGAACAGGACTCGTGGGTGAAGTTGTCGAGAAAACGGGAATAGTTCAGGGTAGTTTCCTCCTTCGCTGTTCTCTCCGACCGAGAGACGCGATTCGGTGAGCTAAAACTTTCCATCTCTACGCGCTTCGCTCATTCCCTACGAATTTGTTTGTTTTAAAAAGGAACAACAACAACAAATCAACTCTAATAAGTCCACGTTATCGCCCTCACGTCACAGACCTACCCACTGTTTTAGTGTTAAACTGCGGGTGAGGGCTTTTCAAAATTCTAACGATCCAAGCCATCCCACTGCGCCTAATTCCTCATCTCAGCTCAAAGTCACATCAAATTCGCAGAATATTTTCAGAAAAACTTCAGAATCCCGCAACTTAAGCATCCTCACAGAAACAAATAACGTATTAAGATAGTGGTGGAGAGGGAAAGAATAAAATAAATAAAATAAAAATAAAACAGGACTAAACCAGTTTTAATCTGCTCCTACCTTTTTTTTCCACGCAGAGACTCCGGACGGACAAAAGCCCCGTGCGTAAATATCGCAAATTATAGTAATCCAGACCAAAATCCCATCCACAAACCCGAGCCTTTCTTGATGAGAGTGTGCCGGGGGCGGTGGGATGCTGATGGTGGTGATGAGGCGGTTATTATAAGTGAGGCGCGGTGGAGGAAAAGGCAGTCGTGCTGCTTCCTCCGGCTCAGTGAACGCGCATCTCTCAGCTCTGCTTCACTCAGCGCTACTGTTGATGGGCCCCTGGATTTCTCCCACACTGACGATCTGACCCGCCTTCTTCAGAGTAATCAGCACAGTGGGTGGGGGGGTTACTCCATTTGCAGAGACAACAGCCCCTCGGGACAAATTACCAATAAGGAAAATTATTTATTCCTTATTTTTAAGCTAAGCTTTTATGTAATACAGGCTGCTTGCGCGCTTAGGAGACATTACGAGAAGCAAATTACGTACTGCAAACGTAGTGCATGGCATGCCCACCTAATATATATATATATATATATATATATTGTGTGTATTAAACATATGTATATGTTTAATACACACAATTCTAAATGTTCCTGGGGGCTGTTCCGGGCAGAAGGTTTGGTTTCTTTCAGTGCAGTTTTTCAAACCCAGGCAAAAAGAGAGCACAGAGTGAAAATGTGACGTTTTGTTTTTAATTTTCACCATAGGGGTTTAGAGCTTAAATTCAGCATCTTGGACAGCACCCCCTGGTCTTGAGACTGCTACAGGCGACGTGCAAAATCCCAACGAGCCGCACCCTGGGCAGAGGGGAAATTTTTCGTTTTTTTGCGTGTTGCCTCAGCAGCTCTGATGCCAGGGTGCTGTCCAAGGTCCTGAAGGCTTGTCAGGCGTAAATGAGAGCGAAAAGAGAGAAAGCCTTTCAGACAAGAGAGGAAAACTAGAGAGATGACAGTTCGGCCTGTCACTGGCTCCTTTTATTGTAATCTAGTCTCTTTTCTACACACTATTGACACTACTAATTACACCTGCTACTAAGTAGTCATAATAGCAAGATATTATGCAGCTAGTAGTAGTGTGGATTTAACATGCTCAAACAGCTCTACTGGTTTGTGGCTCCACGGTGGAGTGGTTTACACTTTCACCTAACAAGCCAAAGATCCCTGGTTGGTTCCAGGAGGAGACACGCATCCCTTTGGGGTTGCTTCAGGAAGGGCAACCTGTGGAAAAATCTGCTAAATAAAACATGTGTATCTGCTGGCTGTGGTGACCCCTTGTTAAACAAGGGAGCAGCTGAAAGAGGCTCTGTGTAGCTTTATTGGTTTGACATATTTTGGCACTGTTTTTGGAAAATGGGATAAGGGGCTCTCCCATGAGGCCCTGCATGGGACCCAGGTGTTGCCAATACAGGTAATGATCCACAATGTTTCACTTTGTGCATTCTTCATTTGATAATTAATGTTTTGCAAGAGTAGTGCAACCTGACTCAACCTGTACACCACCAGCCATCATATTCTGTAGCATTTCTTCCACAGTAGCTGCTGCTGTAGCTGTTTGGCCACCGTGCTTGGTGCTGCTTCTCCAAATCTCTGCAACTCAAATGGAGTTCTGAACACTGAAGTTTTGGGAGTTTTTTATTATGATGTGGTACATGGATTGATTCTTATATACTGCCTAACTACCTTGCTTTAGCACTCAAAGTGCTCTATACCACAAGCGTCATTCACCCACTGATGCACGCATTCATACAACACTTATTTCTATGCGTTTTATCTAACATTTACAATCCAGTGAATTTGGAATTTAGTCTCTTGTCTAAGAACATTTTGGCAAGCAGACTGAAGAAGCCAGGGATTGAACCACCCTCTTTCAGATTAGTAGATGACCTGCTCTACCTCCTGACCAAGCACTGACTCAGCACCATTCCATATTTCTAGCACATTTGCTGAAAAACCTCCCATGCTTGTTTGACAGGGCAGATATGGCAACGAGGGTGTTGCCATCCTGTAAGGGAATAGAAATGTTATATTTATCACAGGATAAATGAATCACTTGAATTCTATGACAAGGACTAAATAATAATAACAATAGTAATTAAGAAACATTAAATACAGCAAGACACTGGATTGGGTGAAAAACCCCCAAAGGGGATATAAAACAGTTGCATCAAAGTAAAACGTACATACTGAAAATTCCTCAGGGCGCGTGTTGCTGAAGGGCTCAGGGATCTCAAGTGCAGGTCTAGACTCAGGACCAGCTACCTGAGAGTCTTCACCTAATCCCTTACACTGAACCATCAGGTCATTTTATACATATCTGGGCATCAGACCAAATCTAAACATGATAAGAACTTGCAGCCAGTGGAAGGAAGCTAAATCCAGAGATATGTGGTCTGTCTGTCTTTGGCACCAGCTCAAATCTTAGCTGTTGCACTGAGGAATAGCTCAAGGCATGAAAGTGGCTTTTGACACATGGCAGGACTGGAGGGAGATGAGCAGAAAAGCATCGGTGACCTTCTCTTGTTCTGTGAAGAATAAAAGAACTTGGAGACACAAGTGAGATTTATGGATTTGTAGAGGTGGTAAAGAAAAAAACATGTATTTACAATTGTGTATGAGAGAACTGCGACACGATCTGAGATATATGAAACTTGCTCTATGCAAAGTAACTCATAAAGGACCTATATGCCCCAATATGTTTTCAGCATTTTAGCTAAAGACATCTATAGTGATCAGCCACATTATTAAAACCATTCCCTGATATTGAGTAAGCTGACAATACCTTTGGCACATTTATATGCATATTTAGATCAAATCTTATGGTGTGAGTGACCTAAAAGAGTGCTGTATTTTGCACGATGGCATTAACATAAGGGACTCTGATGTCTGAACACACAGCACTAGTTGTAGCAAAGGGATACGTTCTGTAACAAAGGCGAGGTGCTAGTCAAAGCAGCAGAAAGCCACAGACATGAACCCACTGGTAGAGAAGGTGAATTACGACTGCAGGACGAACAGCGTTAAATGAGGCACTGAAGTCTAATAGTAAATGAAACAATCTCCTGCTGCTGCTGTAAAATTGAGGCCATTTGTTACTTTGAATAGGGCTGCAAGGCTAAAACAACATCTGGGCCACTCTTGCTGCCCAGTTGCCACCGAGACCCTGACCTGAATAAAGTGAGAAAAGAAGGAAGGAATGATTGAATCGAATGGTTCCGGGATGAGTGCATCTCACCTATTTGCTCGATAAAATAAAGACCCCATCGAGCTTCAGCTAACCATTACCACCAAGATGGATATTATAAAATATGATTAAAGCGATTTTAATAAAGCCCATCCAGCAGACAGCTCTACACATTTTCCCCTTGTTAAACTCACCTATGAAACGTTGCTTTTTCCTGTGGTCTTTTTTGATTTGCGTCACATATTATTCTGTTATATTCTGCCAAACTGTCACCTGCAGGGGCTCGTCCAGGGGTTTCATATTAAAGAGAATGTATTGACACATTAATTAGGTCTTTGGGGTGATGAGAGATTAGCGATTCTCTCTTGGCTACAGTAGAGCTGAATCAAAGAGCAAACAGGCAGCGGACAGAGCTACATCCCTCGGGAATTAAAGGAAGATGGATTATGGAACATGCAAACAAACAATGCAAACAGAAGTGTTCATTCTACAAATACATTTCCTTGAATCAAAGATGGAAGTGCCTCGAGTGTCACGGGTTTCCCAGGCGGGGTTCTCTATCTTGCTGTCCCCTGTACCAAAAAAGCATAATAAATGAATTCTAACCATTGAATACTGTCTTCAAACCGAATTCAGCGCAAAAGCTTCTGGCATACTTTAATAAGACCCCAGCCACTTGTTCTGAAATCTTGAAATGAATTTCCAGCTGCCACAACAACTGTTGTAATATTCACAATGTATTATATATGCCATGATGCAAAAAACGCATTAATCATGGATGAAGAATTCCCCTCCTGCATGGAGATGTTTTGGAAGCATGCTTAGTCATCACACAGAGAAAAGAGAGCATCTTCTCAGATTTCTTTCTGAATCCCACATCTCTATTTTAATTTTTTACCCTGGTTTATTCTGTGTGCTTTTCAGAGAACGGTTGTTTCTGCTGACACACACACACAAGCACTCACGTCTGAAGAAAATGTAGTATCTTTGCTTCCAGGGCTTTTACTGTCCAGCTTTCTTGCTAGATCAGTGGCCTCCTGGCTCGGCTAGCTGCCCCTATAAGTGGGAGACTCGGAGCGGAGTTTGATCCTTAGCTGACTTTTCCCTGCATGATACTAACTGCAGTCCGAAGTGCTAAGCCTCCACTTACCACCGATACAGCAGATGAGCTATGGACTTATTAGCCTTCAGTTTGCACAAGGCTTATACTTAAGCCACACAAAGATGACACTGTGCCACCGCTGTTCGTGTGCGTGTGTGTGCACCGTGCACGCTGAAAATATCCATTATCTTTATTTATTGTTCCTATTGCCTCATATTCGTCTAATAACTGCTGCTCAGTAGTTTCAGATTATTAAATGTGGCTGAGAAGTGACACGTGGATATCTTTGTAGGGCAAACCTGGTCATTACAAAAGCTTGAAGAGTATCAAATCATATCATCTCCTATCATATCAAAGAAGACAGGAAAGATCACTGACAACAACTTACAACCTATGGGGGGCAATTATTCTTTGCAGCCATAGTTTTTTTTTTAAAGCAGTCTTTGAACCCACGCTCACAAAGAAGTTAGATAAGATGTGAAGCGATATTTTACACGAACAGCATGCAAAATAATAAACCAAGCTTTTTTAAATTTCTGCTGAGCGAATGATACCGAGACAAACAGCCAACAAATCAAACCAGGCCGACAGCCATAAGGTCGATCGTTTGTGCGGAAGCAGTAGATAAAGGTAACAGAGCACCTTTTAAGCTTGCAATTATACAAATATATATATAAATACTAAATGTTTTGTATTTAATGTGTCATAATATTTCATGGCAAATGTGCAAATACCTCACAAAATGTGCTTTTAGGCATGTAGAGCCAAATTAGCCGTTTCACCTATTTCTATCTTTATGCTATGACAGAAGCTAAGCTAAGCTAAGACGATGTGTCTGATTAAGTGGTGTGGATGTCTGTGCTGTTTCCACTAATGCTCTAAAACAAAACAAGCCACAACAAGCCTCCTGCCAGCAGGAGCCACCTGCCACAGTGCTATCAATAATCCACGAGGGTCCTAATAATGCTGCCACCTCCACACTGAAGGTCACATGTTTCT